TTCGACATAATTCATATATATAAAAAATTAGATCACAAAATATTTCCTACGTCGCTATCAGCATTATGCTAGGAAAACTATTGTATTAATTCATGTTGTAAGTGTGTAAGATGATTTTTTATCCGACGTTTTCATTTGTTTTACTTAACACTGCTGTTTTTAGATCTTATGGGCTTGCAGCAACTCCAAGAGTGCGGTTTCTAAAGCGAGTTGGGAATAAGTGTCTAAGGAATACTATTCAAAGAAGCGAAAAAAGTGCATCGGAATTGTTACATATGATGATTTCAGCATCGAAGCACGAAGAAACTGATTCTACGGTGGCGTAATTTTTGAGCTACATAGTACTAAAATTGCTTTGCTTTTTTATTTATATACGTTCTATTTTAGAGAATTGATGATGAGATCTGTGTGGCAAGTGGGGATGATGCAAATAAAGGAGATTTTGAAAACATTCTAAGCAAGTATGCAAATACTTCAGATGGGGATGAAGATGAATTTCTAAAGTTAGCCAACAAAAATGTGTTCAGTGTGATCCCAAATAAAGTTCGCGGTTTTGAATCAAAGTTAAAATAATGTTATAATTTTAAAATAATAAATTGCTAATTTTGTGTTTTTAATGTTTCCTCCTTTTCGACTTTTTGCTCTTATTTCTTCTTAAAATTTGTTAACAGAGTGAAGTTAATTACAAGCATTGTTATGGTAGGCTTGATTGATTGTTTGACTGTTCATAAACATGTTTTAGGATTCGGTGGTGCTCGAAGAGTCGGAACAGAAAGCCAAAAAGTTTATAACGAGACATGCAGTGGCTAGAAAAATATTGAAAAAAGGGGTGAAACTAAATGTTAAAAAAGTCTTCACAGATGATGGTGCAGAATTGCTGGTAATAATTGATATTTACTGAAGTTTTCAAGATTCACATCATGCGTAGTATTATACTGAGCCGTTCTATAATAAGAGTCTTGAATCTGTATTCTGTACATATCCAGTTAGTTATAGTCATTACTTTCTCGAACTTGTATTTTATAGGAAAATAAATATGTTTCTGCCATTGCGGATGATCAGGAAGCGGGAGGTCTAAATCTCAGTGAAGCTAGGTGTCAAATGTTGAAAGTTGATGAAATCGATAAAGTAATGTATAAAGAAAAACAAAAATTGTGGAGAAAAGTAATAACTTCATATATTACAGAATTTTTCCTTCAATTTTGTGTTTTAAATTGTCTTTTTTATTGTATGAAGAATGGTTTGATCTCAGTTTAGTGTCAAAGAAAAGTTGGATATTTATTGAATGCGGAATGTTATTGTTCTCATTTTTATCCAAAATTTGTCCTTTAAGTATGAAAGACCTGTTTCCTGGCATACTGGAAAACTTTGTTAAAATATAATTGGAATGTAAATAATCAGGGCTACTTATCAATATTTATTCATAATCAGTTGTAACGCTAGAAATCAACTTGTTTTTTGTACGATTTTTTCCATTTTATACTTTATTATTATGTCAATAATTTCATTTTGTTCATGTAATTGTTTAATAGCAAAACTATGAAACTTTATGTGAAAATTTTATGTTTTCATTAAGGAGCTAATGAATTATTATGTAAACTTCAGAAGAAGAAAGAGAAACAGAAAGAAAGGACAAAGATAAAAGCTCAGAATGATGAAGGTGGAGCAACTTTAGATTTAGGAAATGAAACGAGGGATTTAGGTAGCGAACCTGACCTGTCGTGGTTGCCCGATCCCGACAAACCGAAAACGTATGACGCAGAATGGAAGGAAATTGATCAGTATACTTTGAGTGTTGATAAAGTATGTCTTTTAATTCTTTTTTGAAGCTAAAAAAACTGTATCAGTGACCTGTTTAATCTGTTGTTTAGACTAAGTGGGAACTTAATTTTCTTTCAATTTCGGTTTTGGTATTTCTTTTACGATTTCGAAATGAGTACATAGCTCAAAACTTTTAAATAGATTATATAATTGTTTCTACCAGGTTTTCATGTCAGGATGATAATTATAAGTGAAGTTAGCAAAAGCATTTGAAGTGCTGTTTCATGGCTGAGATCTGTTTATTTATAGAATAATTTCGACGATGACACTGGTGGATCTAAAAAAGCTCTGAATCAAAAACGAAAACGAAAGCTCCTATTTGATGAAGAAGAAAAAGCACTTGCATTGCTATCTTATCATGAAATTTAGATTCACGTTACTCACATAGTAGATTTCAAAACTGTGCTTTGTACTGAACTGTCTGTTAATTTGTGTCAATGTATTTATTGAGTTGCATTACTGTTTTTTTTTGAACTGGAGAATAAACTTATTCAATAATCAGGAAATTAATATTTCGTTGCCAAAATTATTGTCTTTGTCATTTGATACCTTTGGTTTTTTTTATCTTACTCAGTCTGCGTGGATTAATTTGTCCTGCTGAAAGGTATTTCACATATGCTGTAAGTAAGCGGAATGTTTGCAGGTTCAATCAAAGTTAAGCTATAAAATGGCAGAACCTTACAAACCGGCTGCTCGAATAATGAGCGAGAAGATAGAGGAACGTCTTTCAAGAGATATCTTGTACTGGAGGCGTATGAAAGTTAGCTTTTTCTTTTTCTCATTTCTGTTCCATTATTTCAGTTCATGGGATCGGAATGCATGTATGTAAGTACTGAATAGCTTCATATTAAGTGGCGATGGTGTTCTTGTCTTTAATTTCGATCATTGAATTTCTTTTAGCGTTTGGCTGTGTTTCAAGAACCGGGCAACATATCTAGCACGTCATTTTCACCAACAGATAGCAATGTGGTTGCCAGTACTTCATCTGTCAAAGTAACTTTGTTGATTTTACTTATAAATACTATTTTTGAAGTATGATTATTGGTATTAGCTAAAGTTATAGTGTGATATCCATGAAACTGAATTTTTTGGTTGATCAGTCATGGTAATACTTATTTTCCCTTAGCTGGTGCTTTATAACTCTACAGTTTGTGAACCTCTGGTAACATATGGACGTTTCAAACAAGCTGTTTACGGTGCGAGATTTCGTCGTGATGGCAAATTACTCGGTATTTTAAAGCAGTTTTATTACTTGTATTACTTTTTGCTCTACTGTATAAAAAAGTTTTAAACTCAGGGTAAAGCTAGTTTGAAAAAGATTTAAATTTAAAATACATTGTCATTAATGTCATTTTTTTAAAGAAATTTTTAAAGAAATTAAAAAGAAGAATGTTATCAAATTCTTGTCTGTTCATGAAATTCTTCGGTTTGAAAGATGTTTGAAACTGTATATGCATATCTTTTTTAATAAATATGCCTAAAATAATATGATATATTTATGTAATATTTAGCTGTTGGTGATGAAGAAGGTAAAGTTCGTCTGTTCAGTTTAAGAAAGCATTCATTTTCTTCTGATGGACGAAAAGCTCCGCTAAGAATTTTTACAGCCCACACGAGTTCTGTTCACACGGTTTAACTTTTTTTTTACGGAAATTTTCATTACATTACAGAGTTGTGTATTTCATACACATACTTGTTAGTCTTATATTGTTTAGCCTTGTTTTGCTCTTTCATATAGGCATAAATGTTTATTAAAATTAGTCTCCTAATGCATATGTCTTTTAGTGTTTAATCCGTTTTAGGTTGTTTTTACAAGCTCGGGAAAAACAGTCGTGACAATGGATGACGAA